TGATTATGTGGGACTGTGAGGCGGTCTTAAAAGTCTGCACAGGGGAAAGTGAAAATGAAAGATTGATTAGGCTGTGAAGTGCTGGTCCCTCACCAAAATAGCACAGCACTCTCGTCTAAGTTGAGAAATTTCAAAAGATTTTTAGCAGCAAAGAATGTGGCATCTTTGAAGTGTTCACATGTGGTTAGCGCACGATACAACATGATCATGAAATATTCTAACAGGCTCGTTCACAAGTTATGATGGACTTTACCAGGGTGGTTTTTTGTTTGATTTGTCGTGTTAAGATAGTATTACACAATTGTTATTTTCCATCATTTAGTTTCTAGTCTTTGCTGTTATTGTGTTTATTGTGTGACTTCATGAAATCACTGAGTGCTCATTCAATATTGATGTCACTGCATAATACATGTGTACAACTCACAGCAGGAGGCCGCTTTAAATCAGCACATGTGACTGTTATGTCATTCTCGTCCAATGACCTAATGATACATATCCTTGTAGAATATGTAATTGTGTACCTTTAAGGCCATTGAGACATGAGGGGTTGTTGTGATGAGCAAGGGAATGGGAATTGGGCGGAGCAACTAATCCCACACTCTAAAACGCTATGTCTTTTCATGGTGCATCACAATTTGTTATTGTCATGATTTTTGAATAAACTTTTATATTACTTCAAACATAAACAAAAAATAGCATTCAGGATAGGGCTGGGCAATAAATCAAATTTAGGCAATTAATCGGCTTTTGAGAAATCAAAATCAAAATCAGAATCAATTTTTATTGCCACGAAAGTAACAGGAAGTCACAGACTTGGAAATTGCTTTGGCTCGGTGCATCAGATAAAGAAGAGAGGTAAAGAATAGAGAATAGAGTAAGGCATAATAAAAATCAGCATACACTTCTAAGGTATAACATTTAAAATAGAATTATTACAATTACAAAATACAATATACAAGTGCACATAGTGCACACAATATGCAGTAAGAAGTGCAATAAGGCGACAATCAGTAAAGTGACGTTATGATGGGCAGTAAAGTGATTGTCTGCAGTTTGTAAGAAAGAGAGACAGAGAGGTACTTGATTTGAAAAAATCCCCCTTCCTTTCTGATTGGTCTACACCTACGTTTCCGTAACACACTTAAATGTTAATGGGAGAACATATTATACATAACATTATTAATACACATGCACGGAGGTTTTCAGAAATATTGGTTGACGTTTTCATGAAAAAAATAGTGTTTGAATGCACAAAAAAAGCGATTGCGGCGAACCCGGAAGTAGCTCTTATCATGAATTGCACATTATAGGACACATCTGCAGAGGGTCTGATTATGGATATAGGTTCAGTATATAAATGAGTAACTCAGCGCGGATGTTCAGAATTCTTCATTCAGTTCAGTTCAGTTTTCATGTAGTTTCAGAGCCTCATGGAGGCTTGATTCGGAGGCTCCGCTAAAACAAACAACTGAGCATGCGTGCAGCTACGAGCATCAGCGCCGATGATTGACAGCCCTTGGCATCGCTTGATCAGTTAACGTGGACGGCATCGTGGATTCTGAGCTATAGCTAAGAGAAGGGAAGGCGGGACTTACCTGTAAAATTAGAATTAATAAAATGACTTATTTTATATCAAAACATTTAAGGCCATGGGGCCAATTTAATACAATTCTTAACATTTGTAATTAATTTAGAGTTGCAGACTATCACTTTAAAGTGACTTAATAAAGGACAGTAAGGTGACATTATAGGGGGCTGTGAGATTAGTTATAAAGGGCGGGGGGACAGGTTTTGAGTTTTCAAGAGTCCAACAGCAGAGGGGAAGGAACTGTTCTTATGGCGGGAGGTTTTGGTCCTGATGGACCGTAGTCTCCTGCCTGAGGGGAGAGGTTGGAATAGACCATGTGCAGGGTGGGAGGGGTCAGCAGTGATATGACCAGCCCGGCCTCGAGCTCGGGCGACGTACAGGTCTTACAGCGATGGAAGGTGATCGGCCGCAGCCGATGAAGGATATTGTGAGAGTTCCAGTGGCACATGAATCATACTTGCAATATCAGCACAGTCTGTACAAGACTTTTATAATATGTATTGGGGGAAACAAATTAAAAATAGTTTTGAAACTTGTATATTGAGCAAAAAGATCAAAAAATATTTTTAAGGGCAAAGTCTGTCTTTTGTGACTTCAATGAAAATCAATTTGAAATCAATATCGTCCAAAACAGGAAATAAAATCAAGATTTTAATTTTTTGCCATATCGCCCAGCCCTAATTCAGGAACAAAATGTGTGGTATTGTAATGGGGAGTCTCAAACTCAGACTTTGGTTTGGGTTAGGATTAGGGTTAGTAATACAAAAAGTAATACAAAAGAAAACATAGGTATAAAGGCATACATAAAACATTTTAATTCTTATATATAAAAATACCCAGAATAGACATTTAACAGTGCAAATTATCAAAGCATTTCCAGAGATATATTGTAATGTGGCAGAAGTATAAAGTGACGATTGTAATGGCCCGAGATCTAGTGATGAGTGTTCATGAGGCCGACTGCAGAGGGGAAGAAACTGTTCTTTTGGCAGGACGTTCTGGTCCGGATGGACCATAGCCTCCTGCCTGAGGAAGTGGTTGGAATAGTCCATGTTCCGGTTGAGAGGGGTCGGCAGTGATAATGCCTACTGGCCCTTGAATTCGGGTCCGGCAGCAATGGAAGGCAGTGGCCGATGAGCTTCTCAGTTGAGCACATGATGCTCTGTAGTCTCTGCTTGTCCCTGACAGTGGCTCCAGGGTACCAAACAGGGATGGAGGAGGAGAGGGTGGATTAGATGTGGCTTAGAGTTACTGAGCTGCTGGGCCTTCTTGCAGAGGGAGCTGATACTTTGAGGGGCAGACCCCAGGACACCTAGTGAGCAGCCTCAGCATTGTCAGAGATGAATCCAATGAGGTTGTTTTTGGAAAGTTGATCAGAGTCAAGATTGGAGGGGCAGTGGTTGGTGTACAGGGAGAAGAGCATACAAGAAAGAACTGAGGATCTCTTGTGTCCAAGACATTTTGTCCCCAGGTGCATGCGCTGCTTCCTGTCCGTCAGGAAGTCAGTGATCCACCTGCAAAGGGGAGTCGGGCATGTTGAGCTTTGAGAACTTGTCCTGGAGCTGGAATGGCAGGATGGTCTTGATAGTAAGGCTCAAACAGGACCCTGGCGTATGGGTTCCCATGGAGTCCAGATGCTGCAGAATGAAGTAGGTTTATGGTTTTGTCCAGAGATCTGTTGGCTGTGTAGGCAAACTGCAGGGGGTGGAGGTGAATGTTTGATCACACTGATCACATCAATACCCTCTAATTGACCGAGCTTGTGCTACCCATGAACTTGCAACGATCTGTCCGAACAGTGGTCCTGTTGCACGGGTCATGTTCTGGCCGCGCTTCGGCTGCGTGCTCAAAGCGCTGTTGTCAAAGCGGCTTTGCTTATGTTGGTACTCATGTTTCTTTGGATAGTCCTTATCGTTTGCCCTTCATTACATTTGTCCTGGGCTTAGAGTAAAACCTGCCAAATTGTAAGTCTGGATTACAAGATTTTAAAGGACAAAAAATGGCATATGATTTTTTTTTTAAAGACAAATTCAGATAAAATGACTCTTTGGCATTTCAGATCTACATCCTCTTAAAAAAAAAAAAAAAAAAAACCTGTGCTTTACCTGTGGAACATTAAAGACTGTGACTATGGAGGAAAATGTAACACATTTCAAAGTGAATGCACTTTAATGCTTATTCATCAAGAGCAATCAGGACAGAAAAGCTGCCGTGATTCTCAAGTGTACTTCTACGATCTGATTCATAGATTACAAGAGACAAGAATTGTTTTCTAATTCAATCAACCCATTACTTTGGACAAGAACTTGACAAAACTCTTTACCCACACAAAGGTCCATTGTTGTCATATCATGTAACCACAGCACTGGTTGTACTGGTATAAAACTGACATACCACAATAGAATTAGAATTAGTACATACATGTACAGAAAATGGTATACTTTTATTTTAGAAGGTGACTCATTGACTCCTTTGAAACGTCACTGCTGTGAACTTTCTTGTTGCCATTTATCCCCCTTTAGTTCTAAAACAAAATATAGTCTTCACCTTTTCAGAACCAGAGCTGTATAAATAATAATTTGATGTGGAGGTGTTGAAATAGGCATGGCGACTAGTTCGATAGGGCCTGTTTAAACTTTCATGAATTCACTAGTATAGCAGTCTGGGTTTGGCGCTTGCCCACTTTCCTAATTGGCATGTTGCCGCTCTTGTAGTGAAAGAAACGTTCATGAATTATGCAGCAAAAACAACAGAACCACGTGTCCCATTATAACCACATTGTGCACTACTGTTTTCAGCCTACTTTTCTAGTAAAACAATGCGACCTAGGTACAGTACAGTCCAACCTCACTTGTTCCCTCCTGTAGATCACTTTGGTTTTCCACTATTTTATCACACTGACCTATTAAAAGGCATGTATATATAAACCATGAAAGATTTATGGACAATAATGTGTCTTACAATTTATCCTGGTAAAACACACGGCTAAGTGTTTAATAAATGCTGTGGTTAGATCTAAGAAAGCACATGAGAGGACACATTTTTAGCACACCCGGATATATTATTTCTTGTCTTGTTGCAAACGGATGTGATATTTTTCCAGATTCATCCCTTAGTGAATTTCCTGAGTTTGGAGCCTAAATATACCAAATGCATGAGCGTGTCTTGATCTATATTTAATGAGTGAACAGAGTTTGCCAATAGTGACTAATAGATGAAAAGTTGCCTTGAATCGCTTGCTTTCTGCTTTGAGTCAACAGCAAAATGCACATATTGACAAGTTAGAAGTTCTTTTTTGAAAATAAAGGCTTTAACAGCCAAATATGTGTGAATAAAACTTTAGTGTATATCAAAGTACAAATTAAGTCAATTAATGTTTTCAGTGTGTCGCAGTCAAAACACTTTAAATTCCATGGAGACCCAGAATCATCCAGGTATCACATATAAAAATAAAACAAATCCATCTTGTAGTATAATGTAAAGGAACAGTATTTTAAATTCATGTACAAACCAGTTCAATGCATAGGTTGTTAAAGCTGGGGTACCTAACTTCCAAACAAAAATTTAATTATGTACTAAGTCCATCTAAACTTTTACATCTATTATTATTTTCAAGGTAGAGATGTTATACTTATTATTGATGCTAGAGTTAGAGATTTTGTTTTATTTTAATTAGTACAGCTATTGTTCACTTAACGTGTGCCGTGGGCTCCTCTTTCCTACTGTTCTATAACTTGTGATGCAACACCAACATTTCCCCACTGTGGAACAAATAAAGAATATCTTAATCTACGGTAACTAGTTCCTCTCTATGAAAAAAGTTCTATTCCATCCAGTAGTTTAAACATGCATGTATTTTGGTCTCCTTTATATCAGCAGAAACCTTCAGGCCATTCTCACTGCAAATCATCGCTCTGCCCAAAGTTCACATAGTCAATCACACACTCTTTCTTACAAGTATTCAGTCAACATTTTGACAAGATTAAGACAAAATGTTGTGGTCTACCTTTACAAGCCCCTTTCTGGTGGTACAAAGAAGATAACGCATAGATGTTAGTCCTACCTGAACCTCAGAGAATAGTGGACCTTCCACCCAATTGCTTCTTTGAATGCACTGAAGGCATAAGCTTGTTCCTGCTGTTTATGACACTGACCAGTGCCGTCGGACACTGATAAGGCCAAGGTTGTTCTGGCAGAATACACCCGATTATGTATCTGTCAAGTCATTGCCCACGTTGTCTTATTTTGCTGTCATCGCTGCTATAATTCAATTAAGACTGCATTCCTGAGCCTGAGCGGCCGACGGCAGCACTTTGAGTGACAGGAAAGACATTACTATGCGTGGGCATAGACAGAAAGCACAGAGATATGAATATTTGAGTAGAGGGCATAAAAGAATCTTGTAATTGATTTTCTATCTAAGCTGCCGTTTCATTTACTGAATAAATGCATTCATTTCAAACAGTGGAATACTCGTGCTTCCCCCATTGTCTCATTGTGCCAGAGGCTTTATCGTCATTGGGCTTTGACAATGACTTGTCTCTCAGTGTTATGGCATGCTCAACACTTGTCCTTACTGTCAACCCACACTGCTGATTATAGAACCTTGAACTGGTAAAACTTTGCGATTGAACTGGAATTGCAGAAAAATATCCCCCAATTATCATCTATCTATCTGCATTGAAATTAAAAGCATTTGAGATAGTAGAAGGAATTGCATTTATTAGACAATAAATTACAATAAATAATAAAGGACCTCATTTTATGAAAAATATGTCAATCTTCCCTTAACTTTGTTTGTAATCACCCTGGTAAGCAGTTTGTTTATGGGGGGATGACATGTATCTTGGGCATCTGTTTTCGCATGCCTCCTGCACATCTTCTTGGGGAGGTGTTCCGGGCATATCCCACCAGGAGACTGCCCCGGGGAAGTTCCAGGACACATTTGAAGGTGTTTGTCTCTCAGTTGGCCTGAGAATGCCTGGAGATTCCCTAGATGTGCTGGAGGAAGTGTGTGTTGATTGGGAAGTAGTCTGATCACACCGCTAACCCTGCCTCCTGGTAACGGAAAAAAAACTGAAGAAAATTGATATTTTTCAGATGACAGAAAAAACATGATTCCTTTAAACTCAACTTGTGTTCAATACTCAAAATAGCAATACTAGTATTTGTTAGACTTCATGGTACTTGAGTCTGGACAGTGACTTTTCTGCGTGCTTTAGCTACACACGCTTGTCCTTATTCTCTCAGGCCTCACTGCTGCCTCTGTGCACATGCAGAAGTGGGCTGTGTGAGAATAAACTTATGTGCCTCTCCTTTCAGATGTGATCCACACTGTAGGCCCGGTGGCCAGAGGTCATGTGGGCCCCAGCGAGACCAGCGACCTCACCGCCTGCTACCAGAACTCCCTCAGGCTGATGAAGGAGCACGGACTGAGCACTATGGTGAGTGCACATTTCTACTGCATTAGTCACAATTCCTAAATACAGTTTTTTCTCTCCTGTCAGTCATATTTTAGTGGTAATTTAAAATGCACTCCCCAAATTGTTTGCTCTGCACTCTGTCCCTAAAACTTGCACCCAGGTCAAATCTCTTGAATAGGAATGACTAATTTTTCTGTTTAATGTAACTTGAAGTAATGTAACTGAGGCTTAAAATGTGTGTGTGTGAAAACTAGTGCTATAACCAACTGGTTTTGAGAGGAAGTTATATGGTTTTTAAGTAGTAAATCTCTTTGTGGATGAAGCTTTAATTGGCTCCCATTTGCTTTCAGTCATTTGTCCTGTACAACCTGTGGAGGGGTATGACGCAACCTCTCTGCTGCTTAAATAAAACAGAATCATGTGCCTTTGTTTTCCTCTGACAGTAAGTGAGCAATCAGCAAGAAATACTTTTATTTGTTCTTTTATTTTTATGGAGGGGAGGAGGTACGAACACAAAGGGATTTAGGATTCTTTGTTTCACATACAAATTTGAAAAGACTTAATCTTCTCTTTATTTGAGCCAAACAGAACTGCTCTGTTTCATGTTTTTTTAAATGAGGGGTTTTCATGAACACTATGGGAGATGAGAGATTTAGAGCATGTCTTTGTATTTAAGAGACAAGTGGGACTATTCAGGTGGTCTAGTATCAAGTTTCATCTGCACTAATTCTACTCTCTCCTGGTGTATTAAGCCTTTGAGTTTCATTGTTCTTACCTGATTCAAAGCATTAAGAACAAAAATGACTACTACAAGTCCATACAAAATTATATTTGGAAACATAATGTTGAATCTGTTCTGTTCTTCTGTTGAATATGGGATAAAATATTGAACAGTCAAAAATATGGTCCATGTTGTGTCCTATACTTACTTATTTGGTTGGTAGAAAAAATATATGTAAATGTGGCATGGATGTAATCTTCGACTCTAGGCAAATTAGTTACCGTGACAAACCTAAGCCTCCACAGTTGCCATCAAAAAGTGTCCGATCCTTGTCCGTCTCCTCAGCCCAGGTTGCCAGCTCTGCACAAGCACCTTGCGGTCTGCAGTCCTCATGATATATGGATTCCACAGCCCACGGAGTGTAAACAAATCAGCATCACACCAGATCGCCACAAATCACATTTTCAACACCATCCTGCTGCCCTCCAGACTCATCAGAGACCAATCAATGCAAGTGCTTCCCAACAGGGCGCACAGACGCAGACGAGAGCCCGTTTCATTAAAGATGATTGTGACATATCTCAGCTCAGTTGATGACTTATTGTGAGAGGCGCAGACACCTCTGGGTAGCAATTAAATAGATTGTGAAGTCTGTAGTGATAAGTGTTTTGGGTTTGTAACAAAATCAGCTGCACTCGACAATCCTCAAGTCCGCTAATATCAGTTGTTGTGTTATGGACTCCAATGGCATGTTATTTCCTGATGTTTGTAACAGACTATTTGCATGATTATCATATAAGCATGATACCAAGACCAAAAGTGACCCTAAATCAAATTCCATCTTGATCAGTTTATCCCACAACTAGAACTAGACATGTGTTATTTGTTATGGAAGTTTTGCATTATACCTTAATGTTGCTTGTATTTATTCAATGACATATTTTTCCCCCATTAAAAAATGTAGGATTATCTTCCACATCTATAACTTGACCTGGTTCCTCCTGCTTCGCTCCATGGGTCATATGGTAACTTTAATATTTGATTATTTTTTATGAGTGTCCCAGCATTTTAATTGGCCTGTTGAGCAGTTGACTTTATTTCCCTTAGATTATTAGACTGGTAAATTATTGATGGTAGCTGTTGGCTTCTTGAACTGACAGTAATACAAATATATATATATATATATATATATATATATATATATATATATATATATATATATATTTTTTTTTTTTTTTTTTTTCTTTTTATGTAGGTATTTGTATTATTACATACATTAAAAGTTCACTTTTGAAGGAGAGCACTTGTTTTGAGCGTATCTGAACAAAAGCACCTTGCCCTTGGATCTCAAGGTTCTTCAAAAAATTCAATTTTGTTTATCTATCACATAATTTACTTGTCCAAAAGCCCATGTAAATACAAGGCTGTACGTTTTGTTTTCCTAGTATTGTGCCAGATCCAGTCTAATATATTTGTACAGCTGTTCCGTGTTGAGGCGGCTTTCCACATAAACTATCCCATTCAGTAATTGACTGGCTTTGTGCAAATCGGAAGGGTTTTACTTATATGAGTTGGGAAAATGTCTTTTTAAAACCAGGGAAGACTTGGCTCTTTTCAATTAAAATTATTCTATTGAGATGAAAATGTGTGCATCACCAGCACCAGCACTCGAGTTTGACCTCAACCTTGGATATATACTAAAAATATTTGCAATCTCGACTCCCTCTTCCTGGCATTCTGCCAGTTTAAAGATATTTTAGCTCTCTTACTTTTATAATATTTCTAAGTTGTAAACTTGTCTCCAAAGCGATGAACATCTATGACAATAGGCTATTATAGGACAATGTGATACAAGAAAACGGAACATTTTCTGCAAAAGAATTCTTTAAGCACAAATGTCCCACATTCCAGAAGTCCTTGTACCAGAGCGGGAGAGAGCCGGACCTCGATGGGTTCACTCTATTCATTTTCTCCATGGAGGACTTCATGAGTGATTCCAAAGGTTCTCAAGTCTTAATTCTTTGATAGCAGGGGGTCGTATTGCAGCCTCTTGCAGCAGAACAAAACACGTCCAAGTTCCTGGTTAGCAGATCAGCACTAAACCCACATCCCACTTGTGTGAATAGGCCTTGTTGAGAGTCTTTCAGTATTGCACAGAAACAGGATTCCTCATGAAGACCACTATTTGGATAAGAATCGTCTCTGTAGGTAAAACAACTGGGGTATGCATTCAGAAATCATTTGAATGAGGATTACAGGGAAGACTTTTGGATAGTAATGAACACAAATTATCGGTCTTTTATTTCCAAAGTTAATTCGTTGGATATTTAGAAGAAAAAAATGTAATAGTACATGCATTTGTGAAAGTTGCATGTAGTTAGAAGTAGAAAGGGCCACAATATACCGGTATACCGGTGTTTGTTTTTTTGCCTCGAAAAGTCGTTAAACTAGCAATCTCCATGGGACGAAACCTACATAGTGCACTTATAAAACAAAGTAAGAACCACTTGTGTATCCACTTTGCAGTATTTGGGTGTGTTGCTGTTCCTTGCTTTTCTGCTTCTACGTTTCAACTTTCTTGTGTGTGTAATTGTTATTGAAAAATAGGATTATAATTTTCTCTGTTTGAGTTGTACTGTAGTTCACATTTAGTTTGTCTTCAACTTCAAGAAGGCTCTATATTTTTTATACAATTATTGTGTGAATCCTGCCGCAAACCACCACGATTTCTGATTATGTGGAGGAGCCACATTCTCTCTGCCTCACTCTGTTCTTGCTGAGGCTGAAAGCAGGGCCTTTGTTGCTGCTCCCTGAACATAAACTGACCCTTGCCTAATATCCATATTGTGACAGGACTGGCAGGTTAGAATTTAGTTAAATTTTAAACATGAGAAATATGCAAAGATGTAACAATGTTTACAATATGCATCTTGATACACATGCATATGATATGTAATCCTAGAGATTTAGAGAATAGATTTAATTTCCCAATATTGATGCTGTCATATACCACAAACATGAAATGCATCACCCTCGGTCCACGGTGAGAAGAAATTCTAATTTTTATTTGGCAACCCTGACATGAACCCTTCTCCATATCATGCACAGAGAGTGGGGGACTGAGGGGCTTTGTAGTATGTGTCAAATTGTCAAACAGCCCCCTCCTCTGCCCACAACCTGTTACACTGTCTGCACCAGCGCTGGTTCAGGTGAAAATCTATAATTTGACTGGCTTCTCGATCAATATGGGGGCAGATCTGATCCCGGACCTTTAATATTATTCGGAACAGAACGTAAAAGAGACCATTATCACCTGCATTCCACAATCCTTTGCATTGAGGAAAAGGCTCCTGAAAGATGCCTTGGTTTTGTTAACGAGAATATCAGAAACGTTACTGCATGCACCTGGCGATTCAATGCGGGTACTTTTGTGTAGTAGAACAATATGCAGTTATAAATGAATTACATTGTATTGACGAGCTGCAATAGTCCTAAAAAAATCACTATTGTGCTCGTGTCTGAGTCTTGTCTTTCGAAGTGTGAAAGACAAACCGTTCACCTGTGTGTGGGCTAATGTACCGGGGGACACCGGGTGGCTCCCCTCTGCAGACTGGAGGGTCCACAGCACAGCAGAGGAGGAGGTGCTTAATGCAGCCTCTGTATGTGAGGACCCACTGCAGCATTTTCACACACACACACGCTCACACAGTAAGCTAACCACATTTACAAGGGTCTTCAACCATGAAATACTCACTAAATAAAGTTACTTTACTTTTTATACTATTTATTACTTTTAGTACATTATTGATCTTCATTGAGCAATTTTTCGTTCGTATTTGACCTATTCTTCAATGTCACTTGTTCAACCTTTCAGAAGCAGTGGTCGCCAAAGTGTAGCTCTTCAGGACCCATCTCCAGATGTTAATGGAGATGGGTCCCATCTCCTTGGTCAGGACTATCAGATCTGGAGTATTTTACTTATATGGAGAATGTTTTTGTAGTAGTAACAAGAACACTTCCAACATCTGGACTTTGGCAAAACATTTATTCTCATTCACATGGGAAACATGCAGGTACAGGGCCTATAAGATAAATACAACTTTTATTCATCATAGTTATCCTTTGTAATTACCTTAAAATACAATAAATGCAAACTACATTACATAAAAAGGATTAAAGGGTGCTCAGATGTAACCCCTTGCTGTCCTTGCTTTCCTCTTGGGTGTTTTGCTTTCACTTTAGAGCTTTCATGCCGTTGTGATTGTAATCCTTAGACAGCACTGTATGTATAATTGTTGTC